TATATGACCAGGTTTCCTCACGATGTTTTCTTTCACCGTTAATCAGTGGTGTCTAAATAATCTTAGAAAATACATATAGCTTGGAAAAAGTCATATTGGAACTTGCCGTTGGTAGAACCCGCATCCTCATGCATGAGAAGCGGGCGTCTTAAACCTCCTGGCACCACGACGCGACGCTTGCAATAATAAAATTTATTATAATAATATGTTTTTACACCTTTTCAGAAAGACGTAAGACTGTTAAGGTCGTACTACGTGTACAGTATAGTGCTGTGTGTGCTGACGATAGTGCTGGGCATCACCTCTTCTGTACACACCGCGATGATGTTGAAGATGTTTTCCTTCAGTAATTCCTTTGACCTCTCATTATACTTATGGATCATATTAGTTGATACGGCCACTTTCATCGCTCAAGTTTGTAAGTATTATTGTCTACTGCACAAAGTTAGGCTGCCTGTCCATTGACGCGGACAGCGGAGCGAGCTAGCGAGTATTGCTAAGCGGAGTAACGGACTATGCGGAGCTAGGCCGAGTTTAATCAACGAGTCGAGTTTATCCCAATATCCCATACCCTCGCTCCGCTCCCGAGACCGCTTCCGAAAATATATGAATTTTTTTAACTAGCTCGCAAATCCCTTTTCACTAAAGCGGAGCGGAGATTTCTTGCAATCCTATTGGTTAATATTTCTTCGTTTCTCTCCGCGTCAAAGGACAGGCAGCCTTATTTTGAAACAATCTTTTAGTTCAGGCTATCATACTATCCATACTCTAATTACGCCTGAATAATACAAGGCTACGAATGTATAAAAATGTATCATGTGTTCTGTGACTAGCGCCCGAATACTGAAAGGCTACTGAATTTTAAGTTGTACTTGCATATCGTGCCGTCTCTGTCAATTTACAAAGAATTTGTAGACAGAACTATTCCTATGCGCGACTTAAATATTTTCTGCATATTTATCTCTAGCTTTGAGTACTTATTTCAGCATATTTATTTCGATTTCCTTGAAATAATTATAATTTAATCTATACTTTACTAATATCGTACGACAATTGAAGTGTTAGTCCCCTATTAGTTATTCTTTAATGAGTTATATTTCTGTATCCCAAATAATTACTAGATTGTGTCTGTACGTATGAGAATGCCAACAGGTCTAAACCAATGTTTGCTCCGTAAAGACCATTCTAGCACCGTGCGAATATTTCTTTTTTAGAATATCAATCTTAATTTCATCATAAGGTTTTAAAGTAACGGTAATCAATTGAGAGAAGATATACTAGTTTCATTTTATACCAGTAGTTTTAGTAAGGGCCGAAACACATAACCGCATTGCGTCGCCGCAAAGCTAAAATCGACAGTTTGCGTTGCGGTGCGTTGCGGCGTTGCGACGTCGTGAAAAAGAGCATTTTGTTGTCGTTCGGTAGGGTAACCAGTTCGTCGTAATTATTATTGTGGATAGACGTGTCTCTGCCATGGACCATCGTGAAAAACTTATTGCTTATTTGTTATTAAGAAAACTTTCCTCTACTATGCTAGAACGAGCGCTGCGTTGCGGTGACGCAACGAGGTTATGTGTTTTGGCCTTTTTTACGTTTAAAGTAATCGAAACGAGTACTGGTTAGTTCAATGGAGCCGGCCAATCAGAGCGCCGAACACGGTCTAACTCATACTAAGCTCTCAGAGCGCCGAACGCGGTCTCGTTTCGATCACTTTAAACGTAAATCGAACTCGTACTATTGGTTCAGGGCTCTTGTTCACGAGTAACGCGTGCGCGGCTTATTGGGTAGCCAATTGATGTGATTTTAACACCTCACAATAATTAAATTTTTAAACAAAAATCTTAATTTCCAATGCTTTCTTTGTTTTCAGTGATTCAAATATATTTCCTGCTCCTAGTACGAAGCGAGATTATAAAATTGAGAAGTAATTGCGAATTTAGATTCGTAAACCTCACTGCTGAAGGGGAGTGTACACTGAAGTGCACTGAAATTAGTGTCAGTAATGAAGAAGGACAGAACTAATAGACATAGTTGCGACTTAGTAACGAAAACCACCAATTTGTGATATTAATGTAGTTGGTGTTCATACCAAAATGATTCTTGTGTGATTCGAAATAAAGTTAAGCTTTGAGTAATATAAAGATCTGTTTCATTACTTGTTTTATTTAAAAAAACGTTGCCCCACAATAGGATTTTCTCCTGATGTGTCGTGGTTGCGTTTACAAACACAAGTTCACATACACAGGCCGCAGGCCCACGCTTACGGTGGCCGGATATCTACCAGAGTGGCGATATATTGAAGAAGGAGATACAAATTTCCATCCAAAGGTTGTCTGGAAGAAATGTCTCGCACAATCCAAACAGCAAACTATGTAACTAGTAAATTGTATTGTGAACCTGATTGAAAAAGAGTAACCTATGGAGTTTCTTGCTCGTTCTTCTCCATATGAATCTACACCTTGGAATGAGCAAATAGCTTCACTTGTAATTTTCTTTTTGTTGACGTTCAAAAGTGCCATTCTGGCCTAATTGAAGTAAATGATTTTGACTTTGACTTTGACTTTGACTTTGAAATCACCATTGTGTGATAAGACCGCCTATTGTACCTATATTTTCGGAGTCGCGGAGAACCTAACGGGTTACCGGGGCTACGGCTCGAAGTGCAGGAGAAGGAACGGGGTGGTTTTTAGTCAGTAAGAGTCTGACACTCCCTACCGCCTCACCCAGGCGGGAGAAGTCATTCGATCATTTTCCCCCCTTAAAAAAAAGTCTGGTAGATATACATATATCCATCTAGGTAAAAGTTATACAATAATTGAGTGACTAAGTACAGGATATGCGAACTTTTATCACGAAATTAGTCATAGCACCGGTATACTTACTTGTAAAAATTAACGACTGTATTATCGAATTCACAACATTGTATATATTTTTTTGGATCACACTAAGTGTGGTTCCGTGCGGGAATCGAACCCACGACACATTGCACGGCAGCCGGTTGCCCAGCCACCGCACCAACCGTGCAGTCAAGTTGCTACCTACTAGACAATATAGTTTCATTCGTGGCATCCGGAAAAAACCCCTTGCGTTATTCCAAATAATATATCTCTGTGCGACATTACATCCAAATCCGTCTAGTAGTTTTTTCGTGAAAGAGTAACAAACGTACAAAATATATCCAGCTATACATATATCGCCACAAACTTCCATAGTTATAATATTAGGGGCCTGTTTCACAATATCTTAGCCCTTAGCCAAACGCCACTTTAGCGCTTGTCTTTAGAGAGAGTAAAATTCAAATTCAAATTATTTATTTGCACAAATATGGGTACATCATGTTGTTCATAGTTTATAGTAGAAAACTAAATGTATGGGGATGACACTGACAAGTATCAAAATTTACGTCAATTCCATATAATTTGGTTTTCTATTCTACATGTCCTTTTACAGGCGTTTTAGGGCTGTCACTAGCTTATACGCAAATAGAATATATTTTTTTGGTGTACTTTCTTACTTGAGTATCAGTAAAACAGTAGGCCAATATACGTGCGTTTATTGCGATGCACAAATCGATACTGCTTCTCTAATTAGGAATACACATGACTTACAACTAGACAGAATGACATCATACTATATTCTAGGGCTGAAGGCACAACTATAACTTGTGGTCTTTTCTGTGAGCTACTACACCTTCTACAACTACAGTGTAAGGACCTTAGAGGTACAAAATATATATCTATGTCTATAGAATCCTCATTGGCCGAGTGGTCGCAAGCGCAACTGCCAGACAAGGGGTCTCGGGTTCGATTCCCGGGTCGGGCATAGTATTACCTATAAACCTCAGTAGTAGCACGGAGTCTGGAAATGTGCTCGGTATATGGCAATAGGCTCACCCCTTATTACATGGGACTCATAACATAAATAGTGAAAAGTGGGTGTTACATTGTACAGTGGCAGTAAGTGCCGTAATGTGCACTTCGGCCCTAACCCTTTCGGGGATAAAAAGGCGTTATGTTATATATACTATAGAATCCCTAAGACGTCCTCCCGCAAGGTGGACAGACGATCTGTTAAAAGTTGCAGGGAGCTGCTGGATGCAGGCTTCCAACCGGCCTATCTGAAAGTCATTGGGGGGCCTATGTTCTGTTGTGTTGTCCTATGGTTGACATGATCATGATGATAATGACAATTTTTATATATAAATCCCGGGAACACACAGTGAAGCCACTGGCAAAAACCAGTCTGTGTATAAATTCAGAAGGAAACACTTTTGTAACTGACTTCACTTGTGGGATGTACGTGAAATGATAGGAGTGTCGATACCTAAAAAGTATTTCGGTATACAATCAAATTCTATGTCATTGTTTTAAGCTGACGTCCAGTCGTTTAATGTAAATAATAATCTAGTGTTGGCATCAATATTAATTTGATCAATTTATATTTTCATTCATTTCTATGGAATAAATTCTCATCTAGTGTATTGAATAAGAAACTTTGTGCCTAATAAGTAAGTTCTAATTTGCTTTACATCTCTAAGTTTAAAGACAGTCTAAGGGACGGTGATCACGGATAGCTAGCCACCCGACTAGATTCAGACCGAGCATACTGTGCGTCGCATTCAACGAGCCATCAGACAACCACGGATGGGGCCCAATAGGGCTGATGCCAAATGCTGTCTGATGGTTGCATGAGGCGCACGCGGAATGACACGCGCTGTACGCTCGGGCCTGGTTCTAATAGGGCGGCGAGTCACCCGTGCTCGCCGTCCGTAGACCCGTGCTTACGACGGCCGAAGATCGTCTCGCGATTCCAGACGCCTGGAGTGTCTCTCGCGACGGCGTCACATCACTATTTATGTCGGACGTGAGGAGGTTCGTTCGCTCACGCGCCACGCCTCCTCCTTAGTTAGCATGTAAGCTGTTTTTAAAAGTGGACTCTGGTCTGTTAAAAATAAACGTCATTTTAGAATATTCTTCTTTTCTAGAAACACTTGTGTCATAATGGCTTATGAAGTAAAAATGACTTTGGAACTTCCTGAGATTAAAAGATGTTGCTTCATATGTCCGCTGCGGTACAGTATTATTATTTGGGGATATGTTAAACTGGTAAGTTTTAATTTAAATTCTTATTCAAGTTCTGAGCACAGATTAAGAATAAGAATAATTTATTTATATGTCATTTACAATTACTGGACGGTTGGCGGGCTGGCTGGGCAACCGTCTACCGCGCAACGTTTTAGATTCGCATTCATTTAATTAAGGTAGCACTTTTTTCCATTTCTACCTAATGTATATATTTTTATGATGACTAGGTAGGACCAGACAATATAGGTACATAATGTCCTGTAACGTTAAAGTTCCGTATTCATATTTCTGAATTATAAGTATTCAATATTCACCACATAAGTATAAACTTTAGACTGTGAAATTATCAGTTTAAGAATTATCCTATTTGGTGCAGTCGTTCAGGTGTTGTGGAACACATTTTTTTTATTTACTATGTACACACATACATCTCGATTAGGTTGTTTTATTGGCTTATTTGTTTTTAGATCAGCACTGCAGTGGACTTATACATGAAAATAATGCTACTCATGAATATAGATCCTGAGAAAAACAACGTTGTTTGGCAAGGACTTCTCTTGGGAAATCTTGTACAAGAATTCGTACTATGTTTCATCCTAATTGTTGCAGCACATATGGTAATTAGCAAAAGCCCAGGATACAGGGTCAAAATGTCCCACGATATGTAAAAAAAATATTCATACCAAGTTACACCTTGTCATGTATTTCCTTTTACAGAAAAATGTCAAACTTCTCCAAGTATTCTACATCTACGGCTGTATTCTGCTGGTGTTCCAAATTCTGGCAGTGGGTGCTCTGACAGTATTCATGTTTTACCTGATCTTCGTTGATAAACCTCTTACCAAGGGCTCGTTGGCTCATCAGTCCATGGCGTGGCACTACTTGATGTATGCCTCAACATTCTACGCCAGTTTAAGTAAGTTAAACTTTCGATTACCGCACTTGAGTATTTGTCACTTTATAGCATATGTCCTATACAATACAATGTTGGTCAAAATTATATTTATTATAACTATAGTGAGACATACTAAATAAACTAAAAATCGCGGGCTACTCACGTGAATATACTGAGAAAGGCTCTCATCGTAGAGAGTTTCGATCCACAGAGAAGTTCGTCGCGGCGACGTCGCGCATCTCACTGGCTAGTGTTGGCGCTCGCATCGGTGTTGCTACTTGCGCATCTAGCCTACCGCGCCCTCTCATGCTGAAAACCCCCTCTGTTTTCTCGAAACTTTTCTCAGTATATTCATGTGAGTAACCCGCGATTTTTAGTTTATTTGGTCAAAATTAGCATGTTTGTGAATCGACAGGCGTTCGCTTTTTGATCATTTTTAAGCATGCTCAATAGAACGGTACTTTAGAGCATGCGTAACAGTAACTGCCTTTAGACTTAGGTACAGAACTAGGTAAGACATTACGTATTTTCTATAGTATCTTACACAGTGGCAGTCAAGAAATTAACTGAAAATAACTGCCTGATTGGATGGATACCCATGTTGACAGAGGTACCACAGTATTTATCTCGATGTTTCTAAAATTCTTTGTAATGCCACGGAGTCAGGAATTGTACGAAGTGTATGGCAGAAGGCACACCTATATTACGTGGGCCTTACAACATAACTGGTGATTTGATACCTATAAGTAAAAAATAGCTGTATTGACCAACCTTAGCGTGATGTACCATCTAATCTAACACCTTACTTGTACTAGGTGTCACTTATAAGTTGGTACAAACCAAAATTGACTGCCTCGTTGGCCGAGTGGTCGCCAGTGCAACTGCTTGTCAAGGGGTTTTGGGGTTCGATGCCTGGGTGGGCAAAGTAATCCTAAGTTTTTTTTTTTAAATCTCAGTGGTAGCACGGACTCTGGAATTGTGGTATATGGCAATAGACGCACCCCGCACATGAGACTTATAACATAAATAGTGAAAAGTGGGTGTTACATTGTACAGTGGCATTAAGTGCCGTAATTTGCACATTACGGCGAGGTGCACCTCTGCCTACCCCTTCGGGGATGTGATGGGACCCCTTATGTTAAATACCAAAATGTTGTTAACTGTCCCTGACTGTAGCTTCCTTAAAATGTAGAAGAGGTTGATGAAAATGAGCATATTAAATTTATCGTTTTTTTCTTCTCCTCTTATAATATCTTCTGATTCACTTCATTCATGTCCCTGGGACGCGCCGGACTAAAGTGTTCCAGTGTTTTCATAGTTATATCTACTGTAGATCCTGGCTTAAAGGAGTTGCAGTGGTTTTGGGAGGCTGTGGCCAGCTTGACCCATTAAAAAAAATATATATTAAAAGGCTCACGAATATCCACCTAACCACTTTCTTTTTGTATATTTCAGTACTCGACATTTATGTCATACTCCTAGTCAAGACGGAGATAATGAAGCTCAAGGACAAAAATCAGTATACATTGGAAGATGTCGATGAAGTACCAAAGACCACCGTGACCTACACAAAGAAAGAAGGTGAAGAAGTAGTTATTACAGATGTCGAAGAGACTGAATACTAGATCATGTTATCATCACAAAACTATAATAATATGTCTTGTTCTCACTTCTGCAGATTGTAAATTGTCTATAGGTGTCTGATTTGAATTAATAATGGCAAAGACTTTACTATTATTATCTACTTATGTGGAGGCAAGTGAATTTCTTTTTAGATTATTATATGTTTGTATAAAACCATTTCTTGGCCTAATTTTTCTTAACTTACCTATCTCCTACTTCTACTCTTGTCGAAATACTAGACTTGACTTGACTGCACGGTTGGTGCGGTGGCTGGGCAACCGGCTGCCGTGCAACGTGTCGCGGTTTCGATTCCCGCACGGAACAATACTTTGTGTGATACACAAATTGTTGTTTCGGGTCTGGGTGTCATGTGTATGTGAACTTGTATGTTTGTAAACGCACCCACGGCACAGGAGATAATCCTAGTGTGGGGATAAAGTTATAAAGAAAAAGAAAAAAAATATTCAAACGATACTCAATTTTAAATTACTTAAGTCACGCTTAAGTATAGTTCTGTCTCTACAAATTCTTTGTAAAATGACAGAGACGGCATGATATTTTATAATACAACTTAAAATTGAATAACCTTTCAGTATTTAACAGTCTAATATTTAAATCTCCAACCTAACAGTTGGAACGTGTGTTGGCTTTACACTAATGGTATTTGTAGCTGTAACAGATTTTTTTAAGGGGGGAAAATCATCGGATGACTGCTCCCGCCTGGGTGAGGCGGGAGGGAGTGTCAGACTCTTACTAACTAAAAACCACCCCGTTCCTTCTCCTGCACGTCGAGCCGGAGCCTCGGTTACCCTTTAGGTTCTCCGCGACAGTTGTAACAGATTAGGGCTGGATGTTTCCCAACGAATTATAATTCAAATACCGAGAAAATTGGCGGGAATGCGGAGCGTCTTCGTACACACTCACTCACTCAAAGTTTCGGCGGCGACTGATGGGCGTTGGCGCGAGCGCGGAGCCCGCTCGAGCGAGGCGTGGGCGGAGCTTCGATTTTTGAATTTTAGCGCGAACGCAAATTCACTACGTTACCACCATTTTTCTTATCGTACCACAAAGGAGGTTTTTAACATAAAAGTTGCCTAAAGTGCCGAGTGGTTGCAAGTGCGACTGCCGGGCAAGGGGTCTCGGGTTTGATTCCCGGGTCGGGCAAAGTATTACTGGGTTTTTAAAAATCTCAGTAGTAGCACGGAGTCTGGAAAAATGTGCCCGGTATATGGCAATAGGCTCACCCCTATTACATGGGACTCATAACATAAATAGTGAAAAGTGGGTGTTACATTGTACAGTGGCATTAAGTGCCGAAATGTGCACCTCTGCCTACCCCTGCGGGGATAAAAAGGCGTGATGTTATGTTATGTTATGTTATGTTGCCTAAAGTATTAAAACAGAATTATTCATTTATTTCTTTAGATCTATAAGTTATGATACCAAACTATTGAATAGAAACAGAAGAAGGTAAGCTGTTAGCTGTGTAGATTAGTTTTTGTATCAACAAGCTACTTCTGCAAGCTATCGACAAAATCTTGCGGGTCAATATCAATACACCATATAGGTACAAGGTAACAGAAAACACAAATACAAACAATTAACGCTATTTAATCACAAAATAAATAACAAACACATAATCATAACAATATAACACGGTAACTACTCGAATGGAAACCACATATTGAATGTCCACCCACAATATGGACGGCCTGACGATCGCAGGGTGCCTATGTAGGCAAGTTACTTCCAACCGGCCTATCTGGAAGTCATTGGGGGGGGGGGGAGAGTTCAGCACTAGACGTGTAGTGGTTCATATGATGCTAACGATAATGAACTATGTTACTAGTCTCAGTCGTCACTGGCCACCTGCAGCTGCCCCTGCAGCAGCTGGAACCTCACACTCCATGGAGCAAAGAGCCTCAGCAGTATTATTAACGAACCTAAACTTGCGACTATTCTTCAGCTTGATAATTTCGCTTCTTAATAACAATATGAAGTAGATCTGGACCACTGAAAGAGAAAGAGTTATTTTAGTGACTATTTCTTCAAGTCTAGTCAAGTCGATTGTCGGGCAAGGGGTCTCGGGTTCGATTCCCGGGTCGGGCAAAATATTACTGGGTTTTTAAAAAATTCTCAGTAGTAGCACGGAGTCTGGAATTGTGCCCGGTATATGGCAATAGGCACACCCCCTAGTACATGGGACTCATAACATAAATAGTGAAAAGTGGGTGTTACATCGTACAGTGGTATAATGTGCACCTCTGCCTACCCCTTCGGGGATAAAAGGCGTGATGTTATATGTTATATGATTTCCGAAAAACCGAAACCTCGGATCGAATGTGTTACTCACTTAACCTGGTTTAATGGTTGAACCAATGAGACAATAAAGATTATAATATAATAGGTAATTATAACGAAAAACTTACCTAATACAAGAAAGAAACTAGAGTAAACCTTGATGTAATACTCCCACAATTCAGCAGTTGAACTATACCAAGGGTAGCTTGCCACCAGGCCAATGTATGCAATCATCAACAACAGCGTTATTGCCAACATTACTATACTTAAGATGTAGAATAATTTCAAATACTTTACGATTTTCTGTAACACATAAAACAGTATTAGTATAAAACGTGACGATGTACTTACAATAAAGCTTCGTGTTTAATAAAGAGTGGAAAAACTTAATGTTACGAGGGACAGTCCACTACTGAACTATCAATGGGCCTCCTTACGTAAGGGGGTTGGTCATAATCCACATTCGGTAGTTGGGTTGAATATAATTTAAGAGATTCAGGGTTATCCGAGAGGTCTACTACCCGATCTCTAAATCTGTCATTCGGTTTTTATGACACCCGCAGAAGGTTACAGGTGGCGACATCTGTACATTCTATGTTGCTGTCACGTCACGAACACTATTATCCAATGTTTTTTTTTACCTCTATATTAGAAAACATGACGTGAACCACACGTGAACCAAGACAATCAAAGAAGTCATGCTAATATAAACTTTAATTGTTACTCATTTTAAGATAAAGTTTTAAATTATTTCTGATTTTCAATTTAAAGATAAATTTTCAATTAATGACTCCACGGCTGCCGCAATGGCTGGGTAACTGGCTGGCGTGCAGCGTGTCGCTGGTTTAATTCCTGCACGAAATGATTCTCTGTGTGATCCACAAATTGTTGTTCCGGGTCCGGATTTAACGTGTATGATAAACTGTATGTCTGTAATCGCATCCATAACACAGGAGAGAATCTATGTTTGTATCATTGTTATGTATATCATATATTTTTTAAATAGGTTTAACTATTACCTGATGTACTCCAACGACGAATACTATTGTCAATGCAAAATCAATCAAAAATATAGCAATGGCAATGATCAGACAAGCAAATTCCACTTCAAATACATTGAATGCAATTATTATGACCAATAGGTAGGCCAGCATTGCGAGAATGTATAAATCAGCTACCTGTAACATAGAGAAAATATATTAGTAACGGCATTAATGGCCTAAGTGTCAGCTTGGAGTTGTCATGCACTCAAAGGTCTCATTGGCGGTGGCGCCGTCAGCGACAGTAAAAGATACAGTCTAGAGCTGACCAGTCCCAGTTGACGGCGCCCGTTCACGAACATGACACGTACACCAGCACCGCCCAACTCAACGATTCCCTACAATATGGTTGAGTTGGGCGGTGCTGGTGTACGTGTCATGTTCGTGAACGGGCGCCGTCAACTGGGACTGGTCAGCTCTAGACTGTATCTTTTACTGTCGCTGACCAACATAAAAGACTTAAATCACTCACCAGTTTAATGTATCCCCATACTAACAACCCTTTTCGCAAGGGTAGACAGAAACAGCATCTTTTACACATGGGGACTTCAGTTTTCATGATTATTTCTTTTTTGCACTATTAATAATTTAAAATTACCAAGTCCAAAGCACCACAGTCCACACTAATTTAACGAAAACCAAAACAGTTACTGAACTAAAAATATTACTTAAAATTGTATTTAAAATGAATATTTACATCTGCACAGTTAGGATTGCGAATCAATTATGAGCTATAAGTCAGCCGTCCGAGTGTCGGAATCATCAATAAATGTTTACATATATATATGTGCTATTCTGCTAAACGATAAAACACATTATGATAAGAAAGAAAAATACATTTATGAATAAAGTGAACTGACGATATTGTATGTCGCAGTTAATGAGTTTAATTATACTTTTAATTAACACTCTAGCATTTTATGGCGCATTTTAATCAAGTGGATGACTGACATATACAAGCTTTACAATTTTTCGATCAGTAGATGGCGTTACCGACGCCTTAAGTCTTGCCTATTTATGACTAGACGGATAATTATGTTTAGTATCAGGTATTTTGAATAGAGTCACATAGTACTGTATTCAAAAGTTTTGTCATGTCATAAATATTCCACGGTAGTTGTATTTTTCCCTAGCTCTCCAACGCTGTAGCATGTCCGTCCTGACCCTGACGAATAATCCCGGTTACACTTACATAGATAGTTATTAAATCATAGTTCTAGGAAATTATTTCATTATTTAATCTTTAATGTACACAATTTGATTACACAATGGCGCATAAGGCGAACATAATGCCATATGAATACGACATTTTCTACCAGTCAACCTTAGGGTTTAAGTAGAAATTCTGCGAAAAATAAGACACGGAGAATAAACTAACAGCAAAATTTTGATTTCAATTTTAAATTCGAAAACTTTTGATATGAACAACTTAAATGTAACTTAGTTTTAAGCCTATTGTAACACCTTATTCAGTTTATGGTATGCAAATAGATGAATATGAATATTAATATGACAGTTCAGTTTTAATTAATTTTTAGTTGTATATTTATTATTCATAATTATGATAATTTAAGTGTATTAATTGTAAATATTTAAATAACTTTCCGCATCAACAGCTATTTTCTCTTCATAGTCTATCAAGCACTTAGCTTCAAGATTATTCCCAAATTCAATGTTAACTAATTCTTCTTTTGAATCCTTTCTAGAACCTTCTTTTAATTCTTCTGTTTCTCCTATAACATTTTCTCTACCTGCATTTTCGTCTTCTTCATCTGTATGGAGTTTGTATGCTTGCGTTAAAGTACATTTATTTTCATTAGTGTTGAACGAGAACTGATAATCTTCTTTAGTCAGCTTCTTGATTTCCTGCCACAGAAGAAACATGGCGTAACATTGTAACACTGCAACAAAAACAAAATAGATTTTGGTAATAATTCGATCTTCTCGAGGTTCTCGGAATTTTATTATTAGGAATTTACATGTAACTTTTCTAAAGTCGGTATTACATACATATGAAAATAAATAACCGAATTCTTTTTTAAAATTGAGACTCACATAAATAAATACAGATTTAGTTCGACCAAACTATAAAACTAATTTATGACGCCTGTATCTATCTCCATCTATGTAGTCAAATTTTTTTTTATGTTTAGATACTGTTCTTATTCATTAGTAACTTTTAGAAATAAAAAAAGAAATACACTAAAACTAATACAGAAAATTGAATAAATAAATTAAAAATGATTTGATTAATTCAAAAATTTCTCAATAAAGTCGATGTTCTCAGCTCTTGTTACGTCAGACTCATAATAAAACTAGAAACATGTAACTTCGGAGGTTAAAAGCAGATATTTGTATACGCTGTCAGAAAAAAAATGGTCTATTTAATGTATTTTTTATGGAATAAGACGGTAAACGAGCAGACCGTTTCCATAATGGTAAGCAATGGGCGCCGCCTATGGACACGTGAAACACCAGAGACGTCGCAAGTTTGTTACCGGCCTTTTGGGGATTAGGAATTTGAGGACTGTTGGGTATTCTGGGATACGGGAGATTATCGGATAATTAGACCTCCAGTAACCTCACTCACACGACGAAACACGACGCAAGTGTTATTTCACGTCGGTTTTCAGTAGTGAGGCCGTGGTATCACTCCGGTCGACCCATTCGTTTCGAAGCATGGCTCTCCCACTAAAGAACACGCACGATAATTGAAAACAACAAGTTACTTACAGCATATTACAACAAACTTGGCTGTTTCTTTGAAAACCACCTCCATAATAAGGTCGCTGAAAATTCTTTTTAAGGCAGTACTTCGGAGATCGAAGTATACAGCCAATACTTCGCAAAGAGTTTTCACGAACAACAGTATACTTACTGTGACCACTGTAATATTGACCACCATGAAAATCTTTAAAAGTCTCCAGTTTTTCTGAAAAACAAAACGATACATAATTAATAGAGTAGTGCATTGACGAGCATAAAGAGATTGGTAGGTTAACTTAACGGCTTACGTTTTTTTTAATAAGGTATTTGACACATTCTTATTTTAATGACCGTCTTGAAGATTATATTAAAAAATTAGACAAGTATTTTTATTTTATTACGGAAACAAATACTTCCTATATATATATATATAACTATATATTTTTATATAGTTATATATATATATGATATATATATTTAATATACTGCGTGATGTCACTTCTATCTACGTTCTATCTATATGTATGATGGTTTCTTATACGACAAAATAAAACATACTTGTCTAATATGTTTTCATTGCTTAACTACAGACTGAATAAATTGTAAGTTATTATTTTTAGTCTGAAATTATGCCTACTGTTTCAATTAGAGTCGTTCGTCTGGAATCCGAAACGGCCCGACAATTTCTACGATAGACAGAAACAAGAGCAAATCTTTGTGTGATCCACGAATTTTTGTTTCGGGTTTGGGTGTCATGTGAACTTATATGTTTGTAAATGTACCCATGATACAGAAGAACATCATAATATGGTACAACGTTGAGCCGCGGAAGGCCTAAGAGCCGCGGAAGGCCTAAGAGCCGCGGAAGGCCTAAGAGCCGCGGAGGGCCTAAGAACCGCGGAGGGCCTTAGAGCCGTGGAGGGCCTAAGAGCCGCGGAGGGCCTAACAGGTTGCCTCCGGCTCGAAGAGCAGGACTAGGAACGGGGTGGTTTTTAGTCAGTAAGAGTGTGACACTACGTCTCGCCAACCCAAGGCGGGAGAAGTTGATGATATAATATGTTTCAGAACCTTACCTTCCAAGCAGCTATTATGAAGACAAAACCAAACACCACATTGATTATTGATATCAAAATCACTATCACTAGTTCGATGGCATCCGTAACTGATATTTGATTTTCTAATACCATGTTTTTTATTTTCATTATATCTGAAGACAAGTCGTAGGTATTATAAATCTGAAATAGATTAATTGCAATATTAAACAATTTTCTATTCTAACTTGCATTCATATACCTAATTGGGGTGATGACAGGGTATGAAAATTAAAAATCTGATTAGTCCGTAAGTTAAGTAACAAAAAATCGTATAATAAAACAATACTTAGATAAAACGAATCAAAGTTTAGGAGTGGGGGCTAAAATGTCATTTCTACGTATAAAATGTACATAGAAGTGACGCGACATTTCAAATCAATATATCGTCAAAAGCATTTGTTTCTTTAAGAAAATAAAAAATATGTGTCTAATGATTTAAAATAATCTACCGGACGGACATTAAAATAAAAATTAGGCATCTACCGTATTACATTACAATTATTTCGTTCTTTATTGCTGCTGCAATTGAGATGTCTGACGACCGAAATTAATATCTTTATCGATCTAAGCTTTTCATTAAAACCCCATGCAAATAATGCCAAAACTAAATCCTATTCCGAAGACTATGCTATAAATGCTTTTGCTTTTCTACTTTCTAACAATAATGGTTTAATCACGGGAATATACTGTGAAAAGCTGTACTAGTTTCGATCCTACGGAGTAAGCTATGCAAAGTCGGTGTCGTCGCCGCGGCCTCCATACGTTAGATTGTATGGCATACCATGTACCTTTTATTAATTCTATATAAATACAAATTAATTTCCGTTCGTTAGTCTCACTAAAACTCGAGAACGGCTGAATCGATTTTACTAATTTTGGTCTTGAAATATACCTGAATGTCTAAGAAAGGTTTAATCGATGAGAAAAAAATGGGCGCTATACGAAGATTGCCGGGTCAGCTAGTAAATAAATAAATAAATTATTAATTCATTTACGTGTGTAAACCGATATTTTTATTTAATTTAGAATAGTTAATGTAATATACTTACGAGACAACAAATGCCCCACACGATCAACCCATACCGTAAAGGAAAACACAAGCAACATCTTTTAGACGCTGACAACTCCCAATTGATCGTGAAAGACTGAAGTCTCTCAGCAAACATGATTGTATTTATTGTTACACACAACAGTTCAAGTCAAAATCTATCAAATTAATGAAATATGAAAATAATTTCATTATTAGGTACCTACATTTATTGAGAGTGAATCATGACCGGAAAGTCCATGTTATTTAGCTTAGTAAGTTATCTATAAAATATCCTTGAACTTTGAACGTACTATCATCGAATTGCTATCCTGTCGAATCATGAAATGAGAGAGCATAGAAAGAGGAGGTCCTCTCTCAGATGCAGGTGCATATGCACACATTTTAACACTTAAAACCTACGAGAAAGAATAGTGCGCCTGCCTATGTGTTCAGCGTTAATACGAATGTTTGGATCATTAACACGTTAAACGCCATGGCAGTCACCGGTGACCGACATTAGCGGAGGATTTGCCATCAACGGTTTTTTTTATTGGCAGCCAATGCCTTAATAGAAAATATATTCGAATTATGAAATGACTAAAACCAGCGCTATTATAAAATTATAATAATAACTTTAGTCTTACGTTCATGACGATCTCCGGCCACCGTAAGCGCGGGCCTGCGGACGGCGAGCATGGGTGGCTCCCCGTCCGACCAGAAACAGACCCGAGCGTACGGCGCGTCGCGTTCCGCGCGCGCCTCAAAGAGCCATCAGACCACCACAGATGGGGCCCAATAGGGCCGATGCCGATTCGGAGTCGCGGAGAACCTAACGGGTAACCGGGGCTCCGGCTCGACGTGCAGGAGAAGGAACGAGGTGGTTTTTAGTCAGTAAGAGTCTGACACTCCCTCCTGCCTCACTCAGGCGGGAGCAGTCATTTGATGACATTCCCCTTTAAAAAAAATACATGTTATTATGTAGGTATATCGAAAAGTAAAAATACATCGCTTGTTCAATTCCGTTGATATTGTGATTTATATTATTTTCATATTTAAAATGTGGATGACAATGTGATAAAACTGATTCATACCTCAGTTACTTATATGTTTGCAAATGTATCATTTATTCAATATGATAATGAATCCGCCAGACACTTATAATCTATAACAATTAATTAACGTAAGTGTTACATTTTGCTGAATTAAAGTTATGATTATTTCTAAAAGAATTTTAAAAAGATTTCTAAAAAAAGAAAAATATTCAACATTTAGGTAAAAAAAACCGCCTCGAACTACAAAAAACAATCACTAAAAAACCTCTGGTTGGATTTAAGTGATTTTAGTTTCAATTTGTTATCGCCTCGGTACCTACATCAATAAACATTTGCTTATACTAATACTAGCAGAAAATTCATTCGTTTTAATGTATATATATATATAATGCATAGCAAGTAAATTTTGTTTTGACTCACTAATTTTGGCCAATAGAAAACTGCATAGCTTAAAAAATGGTTATTACACTAAGCGTAACAACTATGAGAAAAACTTCCCTGGTAGTTCGAACGGGATTTTTTCAACAAACCCGAAAATGTTGAATATCTGTAAGTACTCACACTTAGCTACAATCAAAAATACTTTTTTAGTGAAAACCATAGGGTGTCCCAAGAAGTAAGGATCCTTATCCCACCTGGGTTAGGCGGGAGTGTCAGACTCTCACTGACTAAAAACCACCTCGTTCTTACTCCTGCACTTCGAGCCGGAGGCCCGGTAACCCGTTAAGTTCTCCGCGGCTCCGTCTCGGCATCAGCCCTAAATTGGTCACCCTGTTTACCCTAAGAATAAGGAACCCTCAATGTAAATTGCTACTTCCAAACTTAATTAATCCGCCATTTTTTAGAGTAATAGGTAATTCCAAAGATTTATCTACACAACGTCACTTACGCAGATAATAAAATAACATTATTATGTATGTAAATAGTAAATATGTATGTACTCACGGCTACACATCGAGCTTTACATAACCAGTATAAACTGAACGTTAAATGTGCGGAAAGATGGTGCGACGCGATAGCAGGGTAAATTGGTTTTGTATAGATTGATGTGTGGTCGTGTGTACGTATGGTTGGGTGCGTAAATACCGATCTATATTATCTCCGGTTCATTTGTGGTAGTGCTATCGCAAGTTATAATAATCTAAGTTTGTGTTCCAATGTCTCAAGTTGACGTGAATCAAATCAAGTGCTTTAAACATCAATGATTTGTTTTAAGTTTTATTTTAATGGTGTCTATTGCAATACAGAGTATGGTTTTGATCATCTAATGTGAATTTTGCGAGTGCATTATATGTACCTGTTGTTATTGAAGTAAGTATTGTAATGTTCATTGAATGCTTGTAAATATCATTTTGTTAATAGATACCTAATTCTATTTTTGAATTCGAAACAATAAGTATGTACCTATAGAGTTTTTTTTACAAAGTTTGTAATTTAAATAGGTAGGAAAATAGGTATCTAATTAAAACTTTACTTAGAAAAAAGCTTGGTCATTTTTCGACTCGACTGCACGGTTGGTGCGATGGCTGGGTAAAAGGCTGCCGCACAACAAGTCGCGGGTTAGATTTCCGCACTGAACAACTCATTGTATGATCCACAAATTGTTTCGGGGAACTGGATACCATGTGTAAATGAACTTATATGTTTATAAACGCATCCACGACACAGGAGAAAATCGTAGTGTGGGGGTGAGGATAGGTTTCAATTAGGTATACTTAAAAATAAATTACAAATGTTTTGACTATTATTTACAACAGTATAACAACTTCTAAATACGGTAGTTGACAACTAGTCAAATTCAATGCTTTTATCGAAACGTCAAAAACGATACTGTTCTATGAATTTTGTACGAAATACTTACTAGCTTATGACGTCATCATATTTTCGCGTCAAATAACAAACGTATATCTAAAGATAATGCTAGAATAAATCGAAAATTAAATAAATCGGCAAATCAATGAATGAAAGTGTAACTATTTTTCAATATTTAATTGGATTGAAAAATCAAAATAATTTATTTTTGACCCAGGAAACTACCCAATTGAGAAATAACAATTTCTGGTCACTGTAGTAAGAAACGCCAGTGCGCAGTGCTTTAAATTATAACATAGTTTTTTCATAGTTATTTTAAATCATGGCTTTATGTTTACAGTTGGACATTTCAGTGAAATAAAGAGTCAAGATGAACAAAGAAGAGCCGAAGTTTAACAGATGTTGTTTCTGTTTCCCACTGCGATACGGCTTGTTGGTGTGGGCCAATGTGAAAATTGTAAGTATTGCCATTATAGGGTTAACGCGTCACATTTCCCTAAGTACCTACCCAAAAATTTAAACAATTTGAATCCCGAAAGAGTAAACACCGTACCGCATAAATAATACCGGATAAAAGGCTTTCTGCATTTGTATTTAAAAAGACTGTGCTGACTTTAAAAATTAAAAATGTAATTAAGTTTACCACAAAGCTATTGAAATTACTAAAAAATAACAATAAGTCGGTCCAAGTCCAAGTGTTGACGGTCCGACGAACCTTGACCTTTTGGTCAAGGTTTCTTTTGGATTAAAGGATAGGTTTACTTGCATCGCCTACCGATCTAAAATACCTTCTACCCTCTAGTATTTTAAATAATTAAATAAGATAGATAGGATAGATGTTCCACCCACATGCAGGAATGTATTTCCTGAAGGGTATGGGTGTCTTCAAGGCCCGAGTGAATACTGAATAGGTTGCTTACGACGTGCTCCATCGTAGACCGCATCATCGCTTACCACCCGGCGAGACAGTGGTCAAAAGTGAAACATATAAGTATGTATTTAAAAAAAATATGTATATCTAACAGTAATAACAGTATTTAACCTTTACCAGTTATTGCTGTAAGTTAAAAAATTTATTTGCAAACCAAGAATTTTGACACATTAAATCTTTACCGCTCGACGGGAAATTTAATCCTGCTCCAGCAGTAGGTACAGTCTCCATTTTTTTTTCAGTCAGTAGCTGCGTTCTTCATAACTACAACATCATATGCATTACTCAGCCTATGTATGATGTTCTCTACGTACGGGACTGAGGAGATGAGGTCGCGTTTCCACAGAGATGTCGCTCTAACTAGTGTGGGTCTCACTTTCTTTATACTGGACTTCATCGGAAATATTGTCTTTATTATTGGAGGGTATAAGGTGAGTTAAATTGTTTTTTAAGCCGGTAAACGAGCAGACGGATCACCTGATGGTAAGCAATCGGTTTCGCCCATGGACACCCGGAATATTACAAGTGCGCAACCGGCCTTTTGGGGCTTAGGAATTTGAGCTTTGTTGGGGATTCAGGGATTGGGGAGATTGGAGAAAGAGGTAATTGGGCCTACAGTAACCTCACATACACGACGTGAAACAACGCAAGCGTTGTTACCACTCCGGTGGAGCCGGCCCATTCGTGCCGAAGCATGGTCTCCCACACTTAAAGCGTTATTACTCGTATTACCAAGCACTAAGACAACAGGACTGGTCCGACGCAGACTCACTCATGTAAAGTTCGAAGCGTGATACCAACCATGCCGCGCTTGATATTGTATCAATAGAGAATTATCTTACAAGTGTAGCTGAACTTTATTAATTAGGTATAGTTACATTTTATTTTTTTTTTCTTAAATATTCGTATCACGAAGGCGGAAGCTTAAACCTACTTACTATAAAGTTCTGTTTATTTTTCAGAAAAATATAAGGCTGATACGATTCTTCTACTACTACAGTATAGCCGTGTGGGTGCTTAGTATATTGGTGACGGCTTTGGCCATCAGCTTTTCAATCGAGGGCTGGTTAGCCAGGTACCTGTTGATGAAGATCTATATTGTTCACATACTAAACTACTTTGGTTACTTCATGATTATAGGTGAGTAATATCTACTAATCGCAAGTTTTTCTGCTCATCTGAGTAAAGGAGGCCATACACGCTAGGTTTTGCATGATGGTTTTAGCCGTGCATGCATAACCGACAGACAGGCAAGCCCTAGCGTGTGTGGCAAGATGGTGCATGCAAAACCTAACGTATATGTGTGGTATGAAACTCGGTTATGCTTTTCGGTTTTGCATGCAAAGTTATAATCATCATGCATAACCTAGCGTGTATATGTAACCTCCTTAAAGTCCAGTTTGCTCAATAGAAAATTCCCTAATTTAAATCATGTTTTAATATTTTTTTATGGCTACAGTGATTGGTCCAAGACCATACAATACATTAGTTCTATCGAGTGAGCAAGAAGTGTTAGCTTATTGACTTATTGAACACATCACAGAAATATTAAAAAAAGAAATTATATCTGTGGAACACATAATAGATGTTTATACCAACCACAGAACATATAAATAGCAACATATATCTACAATTCTTTATGTACCGGTACCTAACTAGCTCGTTTATTTTTTTCAGTTGTTCAAACTTACTTCTTACTACTACTAAAGAGTGAGATTATAAAATTCAAAAACGATGCGTGCAATCGCGAGATCAAGTTTGAAAAGGACTCAACTCCAGCAAAACGTATGAGAAAACGAGACGATACCGTGGCGGGAAGTGACTCGGATTCAATAGAGTCTGAGGTCGTTTAAATTGAAAGAGTATCTACTACCTATCTATTAATGTTAACTATGTACAAACAATTAAAACTTTTATATTAGCTTCTACAAAACTTTTCTTTGGAAGAGGACCCAGATAAGCATACATAAATTATTTCAGTCTATTAAAATGTATAGTTTTAAATATTACTCGAAGGTAATCGTAGCTCATATAAAACTAGATAGATGTTTACATTGTATGTCTCAAGTACATTTTATCTATCAATAATAACAACTCTTGACAGAAATTTGTATTTTAATTAACTATTGTGATGAATATTAATAAAATAACAACCCATTCGATGAGCGTCTTTGAACGCAACGTGAATCATTGTATGGGTCTATGGGTATCTTTAATAAAAACAAAACGCGCCTTTGACAATGACAGTGACAGTGACAGGGAGTGAAAAAACTATATTTTGTTTTGTTTTTTTCATGCCTTGTGCGCGTAAATACTTGCGAGTTTCAACTTTGTGAGAAGTAAAAAGTAAACAAAAACTTTGTAAACAACTTTTAAGAAGTGATTAAACATTTGAACTCTGTATTAAAATGGTTATAAACTTTTTATATATATCTAAGATACGACCGATGTGCCCAAGATCGCAATGTAAACACCGGTGCCTCGACCTCGTTAATAATACCGCGTACTTTTTATATAGTTGTATGTATACAAATTGAAGAAGTATGACGCATAGGTACTGACGGATATCAGGTTTATAAAAAAACAAGTTGGGCAAAACAAGGATAATGCATAATATGCTGAACATGGCATAAAGTGCTGCGTGCGACTTCCCGCTGCCTGTTGGTCCGTTTCTAATTATAGCTTTAGTTTAGCTATGTCATTATAAAGTCATCGTTTGCGGATACGAATACGGATGGAAGTATAACCTACTTTTTTGAAGACTGCTTTTTCGGCTGATAAAGCTGTGCCCTTTGCATCGAATTAGTGATAATTGTACCTCTCCCCACTAAGTGCAAAGGCGATTGCATTTGGAAACTGTCATTAGCTAAAATGGCTGAGCTGCCAGTGTTTAAAAAATGTTGTTTTTGTATACCTTTACGGTATGGCTTGCTAACATGGGGGTATCTAAAATTGGTGAGTATTATTTATTATTATTTTAATTCAGTGGAGCAATCCACTAGTCTAAGATTTACTGCTGTTTCATTTCTTTTAGTGTGCTAGTAGGTAGTATTTGATTTATTTACTTAGCATTTACGCTACTGAATATTTGTAAACAAACTATTTTTCATCCTTAAAAATTAAGCTGAGCATTTGAAGTAATTATTTTTTGCAATCTACAGCAATTCATAACAGTTAAGCTAAACTCACACTAATTCTTAATTACACTATGTAGGTAAATGTCTTATGTCTTATTATCTTCTTATTATAAACATATTTTTCCTCACCTGATGAACCTTGTTAAATTGAGGTAAGGCCTTAGGTTAGTAAATTGTTAGTTAATTAGATCAATAATGTAATTTCAATGAAAACAAAAACAAATTATAAGTGGCTCTCAGTCGAGCCTCTAAGTGTAAATTCCTTTAGAGGAGAATAATCGAAAAGCTTCACTCTAGCTCCCAAAAAGTTGTGTGGATCTGGGGATAGCGAGGAAGGGTAGCTCGCCTCCCGACCTTTAGGGACGACGCTTTCTGCGCGCGCCTCAAAGAGCCATCAGACCACCACAAAGGGGGCCCAGTAGAGCTGATGCCCAATATGGAGCCGTGGAAGGCCAATCGGGTTGCCCAGGCTCTGGCTTGAAAAACAGGAGTAGGAATGGGGTGGGTTTTAGTCAGTAAGAGTCTGACACTCGCTTTCGACTGGGTGGAAGTCAAGAAAGGAAGGGTGGAAAATCATCCAATGTCTTCTCCCTTAAAAAAAAGCTTCTAAAAAGTTACAACAAACTGGTTAAAAAGTTATGTGAGAAAATACAATTATTATTTAACTAGAGATAGCGAGTGATAGAGTGAAAAATAATTAGAAAATAACATCAAAGATGTAAAAAATAAGTACCTACTATAGTTTAGAACTTAACTCATTCCAGACCAACTTACTCTACTTTCTATGTACTCCATTCCCATTCCCATTGTGTTTATTTTTTACTAAATCAACTCATTATTTATATCTAAATAATTAAAAACTAAAATAATAATCATAATTTATTTATTCAAAGTAAAACTAACAGGAGAACAAATAAAATATATGTATGTAATGTAATAATAGGAAATACAATAGGCAATCTAAGTGACTATGTCACATCATTAATTTAGGTATATTGTATTATTGATAACTAACTATTGTTCCCTTTTTAAACATAATTAACGAACTAGTTAGTATTCTTGTTTGAGGAAATACTTAAAAATATATCATCATCCGTACATTATACTATTGCTGTATAGAGCAATAGTACATAGATTAATTATAATTAATCTTTTAAATCTTTTTATGCATACATATATACAAAACTTCACGCCATGTCTACAAACTCAAAAACTTCGCTTTAAGAAGGTTAATAAGATAAATAACTGTATTATATTAACTAAAAATCGCGGGTTACTCAGTTCTACTAGTTAGTTGACCGCGCACGCTGCTCGACATCGCCGCGACCGCGCACGCTGCTCATGAGGAAGAACCCCTCTGTGGTTCGAAACTAGTAGAGCTTTTCTCAGTATATTACCGTATAATGAGTAACCCGCGATTTTTAGTTAACTTAGTATGTCTCACTCTCATAGTTATTATGAAAACTGTATTATATATAAGCCTAAAATACATTTTTTTTTCACAGGGCATAGCAACGATCATTCTGATCATGTTCCTAGTTATCTTGTCACAGATACCAGTAAACCACAAGCAAGATTTGAACATTGTTATTATGATAGTTGTGTTACTAATGACTGAGGTGGCAATCCATTGTGGATTCATTGTTGGAGCACATAAGGTAATTATAATATTCTTAATGACTATGATAGTTCTTTCCCTTAAGCTTCCACAATTGAATGTGTGGATGTACAATGATGTACAGTGACTGCCTTCTCACTAGCTGTAACTTAATTCATGTATGGATGCCAGAAAACGGTATATCGTGCTCTCTGAGACGTGACTCTGATACTCTGGATACTATATGGATGGGTAGTAACATCCTCCAATAGGTGTCTGTGACCTAAAAGCGGGGCTTAAGCCGCCTACCAAGCGATGGGATTATGGTAAACCGCTAAAGACGTGTTAAGTGTGGGAGAGTCATGCTTCGGCACGAATAGGCCAGCTCGACCGGAGTGATACAGTCTCACAGGAAACCGACGTGAAACAACGCCTGCGTTGTGTTTCGTCGTGTGAGGTTACCGTTTCCCGTCCCCAATATTCCCAATCCCTGAATCTTCAACAATCCTCGAATTCCTAATCCCCAAAAGGCCGATATCGCACTTGTAATGTAACCGGTAACGCCTCTAAGATTCCGGGTGTCCATGGGCGACGCCAATTGCTTACCATCAGGTGATCCGACTGCATGTTTACGGGCTTATACCTTAAAAACATCTAAAGACGGAATTATACACCAGTAGACATCTTTCGACTGATAATAATGATAATGATGACTCTAGAATTCATGCGCAAAAAGCATAGAGTCAAGTCCAATGTCAGAATGGATTTTAAATATATTTTTTTTATTTACAGAAAGCTGTGAAGATCTTAAAACTATACTTCTACTACGCTCTGTTCATGTGGGCAGTGACTATGATGGCAGCAGTGGTCGCAACTGGTTTACTCTCCGTCACCTTGTACTTGGCAAAAAATTCCAGTCTTGAAATTGTAATCTTTACCTTAGATATCGTAGGATTCACGCTGTCCATTGGTATGTACAATAATTTACTACATCTAGTACACCAACCCCTAAATCCCAGTCGCGGAGAACCTAACGGGTTACCGGGGCTCCAGCTCGACGTGCAGGAGAAGGAACGGGGTGGTTTTTAGTCAGTAAGAGTCTGACACTCCCTCCCGTCTCACCCAGGCGGGAGCAGTAATTCGATGATTTTCCCCCCTTAAAAAAAAAACCCTAAATCCCCGGTCACCACTGACAGCTCTCCACTAACTACATTATAGACCTTATTTCCGATGTTTAGAGACTACTTTTGTATGAACAAATTTAGGGAAAGGAGCTGTTCTAACGCCATTTAAATTTTATCAGATGAATAACATTGAATATGTGACAATTCTAATTGCCCGCGCCAATGAAATTTTATCAGAGTGAACTTTGAATATTTAACAATTCTTCCATACTAAAATCTGTAAAATGTAAATTTTATTCTACACTTAAGAATTAATTATCTGTTGATTGAAAACATAACATAATATAACATCATCAGTTTCTGTTACTAGGTAGTTAAATGTTTACGAGTTTTGCATATTAAATGTGTCAAAATGTACATACATACATTGTGTGTGTGTATTACTGCACAGAATACTGTATTAGTTATAACTCTTCAAGAATATCTAAGAAATTAATTTAATTTTAAGGCCGATATTTCAATCCTTTTCAATTCTCAAACAAAAATTTTCAATCGGTATATGACAATAGGTTTACACCCTATTACATGGGACTCATAACATAAATAGTGAAAAATGGGTGTTACATTGTACAGTGGCATAATGTGCACCTCTACCTAACCCCTTCGGTGATAAAAGGCATGATTTTATGTAAATAATGCTAATGTCTCATTTCAGCCATCCAGACTTTCCTGCTTTTAGCTCTGCGGAGTGAAATCATCAAGCTTCGAAGTAACTGTCCGTATAGGTTCGTTAAGGATGACAATGAGCCTGAAGGTACAATAACTCCCGTTAGCCAAACTATAGATATCACATCATCTAACAGTACAGAGCCTATACATGAAAAAATGGTATTTTAAAGGAAAATTCATGTTTTAGTGTAAAACTCCTTGACGCATCGACGACAAATTAAAACGTATCCAGCAGCTGTAGCCAAACTCCATTCAGCGCTTGTCTC